CACACACACACACACACACACACACACACACACACACACACACACACGAGGAAAGGTACAAACTATTCTGTGAACAGGGTTTGCTCTGATCAAAGTAAACTGAGTGGTTCAGCATCACGCTCCGACCTCTCTATAGAAACTGAGCTCAGTGTAGCACTTCACCACACGCTCCTCCGTATGAGGAACCGAAACACACTCTACCACTTTATCCTGGAAATAAATCGGTTCACGTGACAGCAGGAAGGACGGCTCACCTTTAAAGTTGCCCAGATAGAGGTTTGGAAGAACCTGGAGGGAAATGGGAGGAAATGGTTAAAGGGAAGACAATGGTTTAAGATTTAAAACTTAATACCTTATTTATTCCATTGCCCATTTCTGCCTAAGGTTAAGACAAGTTTAAGGTCATAATTAGCTAATTTTTGCTTCTGAAGGATAATTCTTCATCGTTCCTTTGTCAGAGGCCAAGCTGGATCTGGTCGTCCTCCAACCATCCCTGGTGGCTTCTCAGAGTCACCCGGGACGTCATAACGCTGCAGCCGAACCCTGCCTCACTGGGAATGTGTTGATGAATTACATAACGTCACCTCAGAGGCAAGGCACGCAGCCTGGGAGTGTATATTTAGACCAGGAGGTGGGTCACGGGACCGTGGTCCAGCACAGACAAAGATGGTTGGGGGGCCAGAGGAGAACAGTTGTTGCTGTTAGACCAAACAAGGAGCACGTCTGAACAAGGATCAAAATACCTCCATTAACTGGGCGTGACTCAGAAAGAGGAGTTCCACCCACTGTGTGAAGGAATACACGTTTAAATCAAGGTTTAATTCAAATAAAGGTTTCTGTCATTGATCGTTGTGGCTAAAAGCTCCAGGTTCAGTTTCAAACGCCCTCGGCGGTCATCCGACCGAGCGTCCGTCGCTTCCAGTAAAGGTGGCGACCTCTTGGACACGCCACTCCGAGGCGATGGAGGTATTTTTAGTCTGGTTTTGTCTTGTGTTCCGATGGAACGGCTCCGACTCGCTGACAGGCGGAGGAGCGTGGAGGCGTTTACAAAAAGCTGCTACTTCACCGGAGGGCGAGGAGGCCTGAGCCTGTCGGGGCCCACGGGTCAGACCCCAAAACCGAGACTTCTTGTGGTCCTGAGAGCCCCAAGATGATAAATTAAGACAGGAATTACTTTAAGCTGAATGAAATTCACACTTTGTAATCTTAAATTTTCATATTATTTTACCCCAATTTAGATAATCCCTAAGAAATAATTTAGAAAATCAACTTTCTGAGAAACGCTTTAATTAGAAAAACCGTTTTCTGTGAAGTTTGTTAAAGATAAAAGAGCTAAAGGCTAGCTAAAAGTATCAAAAAGCTGAATAAAAGCTAAAAGTGATAGATATAATCGATATAAATGATAAATAAAATATTAAAGTAGCAAATGGATAGCAAAACCTAAACATATCAAAAGCGGGCCAAAAGTCAAAAGTAGCAATGCACTAGCTGAAAGCAGCAAAACCTAAATCACTTAAAGCTAAAAATTTGCAATAGGATAACTAAATGTCAAATTCTGGCTAAAACATGGAAGCAGGTAATGGCTAGCTAAAAATAGCAAACAGAGACATACAAGCTAAAAGTAAATGGCTAGCCTTATGGTAAAATGGACAAAGTGATAGCTAAAATTTAAATAAGAAAAAGGCTGTCCAAATAGAAAAGTATCAAAAGGTAGCTAAATCATATAGCTAAAACATAAAAGTAGCAAAAGACTAGCTAAAAGCTAAAAAGAAAAAGCAAAGAGAGTACTAAAAGCTGCAAATATCTGGCTAAAAGCAGCAAAAGTTTAGCTCAAAGGAGCAAAAGATAAAAGTAACAAAAAAATGAAGCTAAATCCTAAAAAAGCTCAAGTGTAGCTAAAGGTAATTCTATGTATAAAGTAGCAAACCTTAGCTAAAAGAGCAAAGCAACCAAAGGCTGGCTTTAATCTAAAATTAGTAGAATGTTAACTAAAAGGTCAATTATCAAAAGGTCATCTTAAAAAAAAAAAGTAGCAAAAGTATAAAAAAATAGCTTGAATGCTAAAAAAAATCAGCAAAAGGCAAGATAAAAGTATCAAAAGGTTAGCTAGAAGCTAAAATAAAACAAAAAGGTGCCAGTACCTAAATTAGATTTCAACAAAAACTGTGTTTTTGAAAGAATCATATTTTTTTTAATGGGAAAAGCTTAAAACAAAAACTCCAAGCACTCATCTCCTGAATGAGCCAAACATTTTGATACACGAACAGTTAAAATTAGCACAAAGTACGTAGCAGTTAGATTGTTTCGGAACTTTTTAAAAATTAAACCTTGACAGCGATACGCGTTCAACTTTGGTACAAATGAAAATGGTTCTTTTTTTGTCCAACTCTTCTGTTCCTGAGGGTAAATCTCTCACTCTTTCTTTAAGTAATGCTCCCATTTCATAACTTTTCAGTCAAACATCTTTACATCAGCTGACAAAAATACATTACATTTACATTTTACACATTATATATA